CATAAGGTTCAATGTAATTACCGTTAATCCGTTCTGGCGTCCGCGGACCATGTGTCAGGGGCGGGAAAACGGCAGGGTGCTGTGCGGCGGGGTGGGAAAACGGCGTGGCGCCGTGCGGCAGGGTGGGAAAATGGCCGCGGACCACATGTCGGGCAGAAAAATGGCCACGGACCACGTGTCAGGGGCGGAAAAATGGCTGCGGGCCATGTGTCGGGGCGGAAAAATGGCTGCGGACCATGTGTCAGGGCGGAAAAATGACCATACCCCGAGGCGGAGTTCGCACATCGAGGTAATTTTTTGCGGCTGGAGCTGGTCGTAACCCGAAAAGTTTGTTAGTAGAGGCGTTCGTATCCTGAGGTACCACTGTATTTAATTTACTAAAGATTTGTCAGATGTTTAGCAATTCCAATAATATAAGCACAAGTTATTTTTAGTAAGACAATTCAAATGTTTTCTGATTAGGGTTAGGGTAATTCTATTAAGATATATAATCCCCCTTTTCTGACTTTGAAAATTGTAGCTGAATATCTCAGAGATTTTCAAAGTTTAAGAAAAACTATTTGGATGGTTATTACACATAACTGTGAAAAATAATTTCATAGAAGACTAATGCAAACCAAGTGATATAAAAGAGTTTTTGTTAAAGTTTTAACTACTATGGCATTAAATAGCTCTCAGAAATTAGTGCGGGAGTTATAGTTACAAAATTAATTTATACTCACTCCACAATATTCAAGCATTTGAATTATTTCTTCTTCATAAACACTCTGAGTGTAATACTGTTTCTCTAGTTCTCTCCAGTTCACTGCCTTGCTCAACACACCCTGAAATTAAAGAGAAAGCACAATGGATTATACAGTACATGAACTATTTAAAAATCAGTTTTAATTATGCCAGGGTTTTACTTGTTAAATTTCCATCACTCTGCAAATGTTTTCCTGGATTCAATAGCAAAGGAAAGCATCAATGGGTTCATATGACTTCTAAGCAACAAATCAATTTTAAAATGGAGGATTTGGGCAGGGTTTTTAAAATATTTTAAAAAGATCTAAACATTTGTAAAATTGCATCATAATCACAAGAAAAACGAACCTATTTCCATGTTACAATTAAAAAACACGTTATTGGCTAGTCTTTTTATCATAACATAGCGCTCTGATAATATTCAAGGTTTAAAACATCACACAGACATTATACATCAATAATGCAGTAATGCAGAACTCTGCAGTAATGCTGTAGAGTTCTTGGGGTTCTCTGAGCTTGGTCATTTTCTTGCAGACTTTTTGTTATACGACTAAGCAACATCTTCAGTGCTAGGAGTGGGGTTTGCTCCCTGTTTATATATAATAGCTTGCCCTGTCACTGTTGGTGCGGTGTTGTTTTTTCCTTGGTAGTTCCTAGATAAGGCTGTTCTTTATTGCTTGTTTGTCTAAGTTGGTAGTTCCTTGATTAGGATATTGTTTACCGCTTGTCTGGTGTTGATCCTGGTGTTAATCCCTGCTTATCTGGGTGTTGATTGCTGTTCCAGTCTTTTTGTTTCCTTTTTATTGTCTCTTTTAAATGGTGTGTAAATGCTGTTTCTCTATGTGCCTGTTGATGGCTGACCTGTCTGAATACCAAACTTCCAGGAATTTCCTTGCAGTTTTGGATTTAGTTTGGTCTAAGATGCTGACAGTTTCCCACTTGAAACTATGGTTGAGTTTGTACATCTGTCGTGAGATTAAGGTTTTCATTGTGTCGTCTGACCGCTAGTTAGTGTTCATGGATGCACTCTGCTAGTCTTCTGCTTGTCTGTCCTACATAGGGGCTGTCATAGTCCTTACACTATATGTTGTAGATGACTCCTGTTTTTTCTTTTTGGGCTAC